AGCAGCATGTCGACGGATGGCGAGGGGCGCAGCGCGGCGGCCGCCGCCTGCTGCTGCTGCTGCTGCTGCAGGCGGTAGCTGTCGGCCAGGCCGGCGTCAAAGGCGCCGCCGCCGTACACCACACCCTCCTCGTCCCCGGCCGCAGCCGCGGGCGCAGGCGCGGCCGGCGTGCCGCCGGGGCTGCCCTCGTCGCCGGCGGGAGGCTGGCCCGCTGCCGCCACCGCAGCCGCAGCAGCCGCTGCCGCAGCAGCCGCGTCTGCGGGCAGCGGGGGCAGGCCGCCGCCGCTGCCCAGCATGCCTGCGTTGGCCGGTAGGTCTGGCAGCGAGCGGCTGCGGGCGCTGCGCAGCGCGGTGGGCCAGCCCTGGCCGGTGGCTGCAGGCCAGCGGGGCGCGGGGCAGGCGGGGGGGGGTTAACAGCAGGCACAGGCCGGCCGGCCGCCTGCCGCCTGCACCAGGCACGCACGCCGCCTCGCCCAGCCCTCCACCCAGCCGCCTCCCAGGCCACCGGTGGCCACCCATCTCAGGGCATCCTTCACCACCCTCCCGCCCAGCTACGCGTGCCGCGCGCAGCCCCGGGGGCGTGCCGCCGCCGCCACCACGCCTGCCACCCCTCCCCCGCCACCCACCCACCCACCCGAGCGCCGCGTGTTGAAGACCGAGGTGGCAGCGGTCAGCATGCGCTCGCCGTGGTCCAGCAGGGCGCCAGAGTACCACTCCAGGAAGAAGCTGCGGGGAAGGTGGGCGGGGGGGGGGGGAGGGGGCCGGGCGGGAGGCGCGGGGGGTTAGGGTTTGCGCGCATCGACACAACCCGGCGGCGCCAGCCAAGGCCGGCCCCACGCCGCCTCCACGCTTGCATTTCACCCCAGCATAGCCGCCCCGGCACGGCGGCCCTCCCCGGCATGGCTGCCCTGCCCGCCGCCGCCTGCCGCCGCAGACTGCTGCGTCGCCTCACCGCCCGTAGGTCGTCTCCCAGTTGCCCCCCCAGCTGCAGAAGAAGCCTGTCTCCTCGGGGGAGGAGTTGTAGGATCCGGTGTCGTGGGGGCCTGCAGGGTTGTGTGTGTGTGTGTGTGTGTGTGTGTTGTGTGGGTGGGTGGTGGGAAGAGG